GCCGCTGCCGAGTTTTCGTGTTTGACCCGTAACTGTTGGACCTTGTTCCCCTTGAGTGCGTGTGATTGGCACAAAATCCCGTCGAGTGTATTGCTGTACGTCGAATCAAAATGCCAGACACACCCGATACTCAGCGCTATCGTCTGACTGACCTCTGTTACCAGAAGTCAGTCAGATCGAATATACTGGCAGTGACCAACTACACCTGAATTCCGTTGGAGTTTTACAACTTTACCCGTCATGTAAGTGTTTGATGAGCGACATCTACTTTGCCTGCTCACCAGCAATCGCCACGGGCAAAATCGAGACTGTAGTGGGCAGGTGAAGAAGTGTAACCAGCTTCTTCAAAATATCTCACGAACGGACGGATTCCAGCGTGATAAGTTGTGTGTTCAATGGCTGCGATCAAAATAGGGGCTCGTCTCGTTGCGTGCAACCGTCCTGTACCAATTGCAATTGGGCAAGCTGTCAAGATTGTGTGGACCGAATTCGCATGCAACTGCTGAGCATCCTGTGTAAAATGTGTCTGAAGGCTTATGCCTCCCTACTATAATATTTGAGAGAAACTTGATGCATTAGACTATATTATGGCACATCGTTTCGTTATTAAATAATTAAAATTTGGGTAACATGCATGTATATCAGTTTCTTCGTTTAACACACCTCTTTCTGATTAATTATTTATTTTGGGTTTTTGATACAACGTCATATGGAAAATGATATTACTACTGATTCCAATAAATAAAAAAGACATTGTGATTATTGGGTTCATAGTGGGCCAAAAACCAATCACTAGATGTATCATACATAAATGTTACTACAGAATTTCAGTCAGCACAGCCGCCAGGGACGGTGGGAACAAAGGTTAGGATGTGGTGCAGATCGTGGCGATCTGAGGTTGATTGCCGTGATCTCGCAATCCACGAATTCCGATAAGGTCAAGGGGGTACTTTTGGGCAATCGGGGGCAATCTGTCGATCGCGATTGAGATTGTAACTGATCGCGATCGATAGATTGGGTATGTTGGCGAGATGAAGCGAGTTGTAACTATAGTCGTTGACGTTCGTCTCGCTCGCTAAACATCTCTTGACAGTCGAACTAGTAATGAGGCTACCCTGTAATTGTACGACAGAAAAGCGCTTCCAGGTGGAAGGAAAATACAGCTCGCCTGACAGGCACGGTTGAGGTTCTGTTTTGTTTCGTAGAAAAACATGCGTAAGATTGCGCGAATGAGGTTTTAGTGTATCGCCTGATTTGGTGACTTTGAACGTTCATCGAACTATTTTTCGGGTTGACTTTAGCTGTTCCCTAAACCCGTGTGGGTTTGATTGAAAATGTCAACCTCCGATCACACGAGCCCACCAGCCACTGCCAGGAATGCTGTTCCCTCACTCCCGTCCCGTCCGTGTCTGTTCCTCATGTAAAACCTTCCCTTCTGCTGAAGCAACCTGCTGTTCCGCAAACAGTGTGATGTTGGTTCGGACAGGCATCCTACACTCGTCAGTCAGAGTTGTCGTTGGTTGGTTTGGGGGGCCACCCAGGCGAATCCCGGCTGGAGTCCTGGGAATTCATAACTGGGCCAATGTTAGTACAGTACCCAGTTGCTCGGTAGTAAAAAAAAATTGCCTCGTTCCATGCCCAGTGCACGTAGGTTCAAGTACATCACGCAGCTCCCACAATTTGAGGCACCCGGAAATACGGCCCGAGAGCGGGAATTATGGTGTTGCGGGTGCGGGTGTGGGTAGTATTTTCTGGGAGGGAAATGTGGGGAGGGGGAGGGGGCTTGGAGGGTGGGGGATTGTGGGGGAGGGGAACGAGATCTTTGAGAGTTAACAAAAACACAGGGAAATATTATCAACTAAACTTCAAATATTAGGGTTTACAGGGAAAACGCTCTCGTATGAACCGGCTTCGTGTCAAATCGTTGACATCGTTCAGCTGTTGGTGCACCCTTTTCAGCACAGCAGCAGGATTTGTGGCCTGATGATGCGAGAACTACACCCTCTTTCGCGCCAGTAGAGCATCTGGTTGCAGAACAAACTAGAGTTGTAGAACGTCACCACGTTCAAAACGGTCTTGTCACCAACTGTACAAGCACAATGCCAAGAATGCGGTTAGATAAGGTAATGCACCTTACAAACAACTTTGTCAGCGTTTTCATTTGGTTGGGTGAGGTTTACAGCGATAACGGAAATATTACGCCCTCGAGCCAGTTTGTCACGTGGTTCGGCTTTTCCCCCCTAGTTGCTAGGAACGTTTGTGGCACCTGACCGCATGAGACAACTACTACAGCGACGAGTCGCGCTGGGTAAAAGGTTGAGAAAAAGGGTGTATCTAATGTCACTTGTCTGTGGCTTTCACGCGCTATTCCGCCACACCACACACTATTCTCTTGTCTACTTCCCTTCCCATTTTAGGGCAATTATATAGAAGGTTACAATTATCCCCGTTTTATCACGTTTGTCCACAGGGGTACCACAAACAGTCACAGTACAGTATATTTCTACTGCGGGTGATCACATTGGTCAGATGGTCACACCTTCCCCCGAAAAACTATCACGTCTAGTCACTCGATCAAACGATCATAATTAATTTGAAGCCATGAAAGAAACAGTACAAATTTGGGGAATCCCAACCTTGATTTCTTGTTACCTCAAGCAATATTCTAGCCCTGACATTTAGTAAATGGAATAAAAAAAATGAACCCCTATTGGATGGCACGTCATTCGGGAGGCATCAACCCTAAACACCATGCGACAAGGTGTTTAGGGTTGATGCTCCCGAATCAACCTTTTAGTTTCACCCATCTAAAAGTGATATTCTTAGGAACATTATGCATCGGTGAACAGTTGACATTCGAATAGTAAAGAAAAAAGGGAAAATATGTCAATCGTAACTTATATGGGGCAGTATAACGCATACAGTAACGATTTCGACGAGTTTGGTGTCAGAATCCCAACCACTAGACCATTGGGATAAAAGGGCTTGTTTCAGTAGCGGGTCAGTGCGCCCATAACCTCTCAGACGAACGCGCCTGTAACCCTCTCCATGATCAATCGGGCATCCACAGTGCAGATCTACTGACACCCCCCCACACTGGGAGGCCCAGGACTAAGCACAGCGGTAACGGCCTACATGTGCATACACCGGGAATCGAACCCGAGACCGCTCTGATACCATGTCAGAATCCCAACCACTAGACCATTGTGATAAAAGGGCTTGTTTCAGTAGCGGGTCAGTGCGCCCATAACCTCCTAGGCGAACGCGCCTGTAACTCTCTCCAGGATCAATCGAGCATCCACAGTGCAGATCTACTGACATTTGGTAACTGGTTTTTCGCGTTTGGTGACTCGCTTAACACTTTTGGTAACTCGTTTAACGCGTATAGTAATTATACGCTAGCAGTCTATCACGCGAATGGTAACTAGAAGAAACCCTCGCCCAAAATGACGTTGATTCTGGTTTTTCCCGTTCGTGGCAGACTAAATTGACGAAACTTGAAGCAGAAACCTCTGATATACTCTCCGAGATTATGACACAGTTTTCCGAAATTCTGCTATGCTTCCCGAAATCTTGATACACTTTTCGATTTTCAAGCTGGTTGCAAAATTGTAAGTGTTGTAAAAAACAAATGTTTTGATACAGCTTATATTCTGGCCCTTTTTCCGCAAACTGTTTGTACTTAATTCTATCGTGCAGCCGGGACTAACAAATATATACCCATTTTAGATGACAAATGAAATTGGGATCATCAACCCTGAACTTCTTGCGACAAGGCGTATGTAGATTTTTTTTTATGAAACATGTAATTCTAAACAGGTGTATCTTTCCCACATGAAAAAAAGGCTAGCGTTGAAGTAATTACAAAACTTAAGAACCTGAGGCCCTTTCGCCGGAAGTTTTTTTAATCATTTTGCAAGTTGGCAATTATGCTATCAAAAATTTCATTTGAACCGTTTTTGTATGAGCCATATATATATATATAAACTTTGAAACGTCTTGGTCCGTGATATTAGACTAAACAGGGTTCTTCAAAGCCGCGGCAGGACTTGTTCAAGAAAGATAAAGCTGTGGGTAAAGTCTTTCAAACTCGATAAATTTCTTAATTTCAGGATCAGTTCGGCGGGAGTTTCATATAGTTACCATTCGCATAATGGGCTGCAAGTGTATAGTTACCATATGCGTTAAGCGAGTTACCAAACGTATTAAGCCAATTATCAGACGCGTTAAGCGAGTTACAAGAAGTGTCGAAATCGTTACTGTACACGTTATAGTTTCCTAACTAATCGTTGACATATTCTCCCAAGAAGAAATTGCAAATATTTTGAACGAGTTACGGAGAGTTTTCACGAAACTTTTTCGTAATAATACGGACAAAACGTCGTGCACCCCGAATCCCTACAGTGACTCGAGTAGTTACACTTCTCGATTGGGCGTTTCATCTGTGACCAAACGTGATAGACTTCCGGGGCTGGGTGTGACTATACGTGATAGCACTGTGATCACACGCGATAGTTACGAGGTGTACTGTGACTGTTTGTGATACCCCTGTGACCAAATGTGATAGATCGGGATTAACTGTGACTATCTATATAAATTTCCCAAAACCAAGAATCTGGTGATTTCAGGATGTTGAATCAGGGGCGGCTCAAGATCAGGCCGTGATGATCGTTTCCAATTTCAAGTGGGATCATGATTCTCACCTTCAGCCAGCAGTCTAGGGTTTTCAGCTTATTGAGAAAGCTAGTACATGTTCCCTAGTACGAAAATTGCGGCACAACTACCACAGCGCATTACATGGGCCTTTTGCATTCATCTACTACTACTAGTTGCACCGTTTTACTCGCCCGAGTGAGTCACCCGCACTGCGCGCGCTCCAAGGCCCCCGCATCCGGGATGCGACTCGCGGCCTCGGAGTCAGCCTGACCACCGCACTCCTCCAGGCTGGTTTACTCGAATCTGTGCTTTTTTCACCTGAGTCAGATTCCTCCCGCGCGAGAATGATTCACATTCCGCCGCCGCCGGCACCGCATTGTGCGCCGCCCCTGCCGGCGAATTCAGCAGAATCGTTTCGCTCAGCGGCTGCTGCAGCCCCCAGTGGGGGTGCTGGCGCCGCACCAGCGGCTGACGCTGCTGGCCCTCCCGCGGCCACTGCCACTGGCAGTGCCGCTGGTTGGATGGTGAAGTTTGAGCCGCAGTCAGACGCCAACGGGAAGACCATTGAGGACGCGGCGCCGCAATGTCACGCCGCCGCGGCATTGCAGCAGCAGCAGACACCTCAAGCAGATGCATTTAAATGGAAGAAGACGTCGCACAAGCGAATAGCGGGTCAGCCTGTGAAGAGGTAAGCACAAACGACTGGTAGTTAAACCTGTGAAGAGTTAAGCACGAGCTAACAGATCAGCCTGTGAAGGAGGTAATATTATTAGCACTTTGGTTTAGCAGGTCAGGCCTGTGAATTGGTACGAAAAGGCTGGTCTGTCGACTGCATCGCACGGAGAGTAACAAGTCTGGAAGGTGAGACTTCTGAAGGCATGTGCAAACTGAGATCACCGCATGCAGGTGCAGAGACCCGGCAGTGCATATGTCATCGACTGGCGGGGCTTCAGGGTGTACAGTGCAAGTCATAGGCCGCTACAGCTCTGAGCAATGCAGTTAAACTGCTCGGCTCGCCTCTGCTCGGCTCAGCTCGGCTCAGCTCGGCTCGGCTCGGCTCGGCTCGGCTCGGCTCGGCTCGGCTCGGCTCGGCTCGGCTCCGCTCGGCTCAGCTCGGCTCCGCTCGGCTCGGCTCGTGTCGCCTCGGCTCAACTCGGCTTAACTTGGCTCGTCGGCTAATTCTGCTCGGCCTGTACGAAACTGGTCTCCGCTGGTCGGCACTTCTAGGCTCTGGTCGATACAGGTCGGCTCTGGTCGGCACCGTTTGACTCTGGTCGGCAGGCACTGATTACCATCACTCTGGTCGGCTGTGATCAGCTGTGGTCAGTTCTGGTTTTCTCTCCCCGACGAAGCCAGCCAATGTGCTTCACTTCACATTCCCTTCTCTTCTCATCCAACATGTAGATTGTGCGTTTCCTCAGTCGTCTCCTGCTGTAATGTGCACCCCTTTTTCTCCTTTTCTCCTTCCCTTCATGCAGGCTCTACTTTGTTTGCTCATCCAAATATGTCACGGGCTGCCCGGCAAAAAAAGTTGAGGATCGAGTGGCCGGCGAGGCTCGTCACCCGTGCCGCCCAAAGCTGAAAGGCGCCGTCGCAAAAGCTGCAGCCATTTCAAAAGCTGCAGCCACTGCGAGAGCTCCTGCTACAGCCAGTGCCACATTATCTACAGTTCTTAGCAATCCCACGGCTACAGCCAAAGTAGCTGTGGCTGTTGCAGGACGGGCAGAAGAAGACGACACAGGGTCGGACAAGACGGAGATGCGTGTGGTGGTGCGGGTGGCATATTTTGGCGCACACAACCACCCGCCGCCGCCCGCTCCAGTAGCTCCCAAGGCTCATGCCGTCACCTGCCTTCCCATGTCAGCGTCCCTCTCTGCTGATACAGCCTTTCCTTCTGCTACAGCCTTAGCCTCTGCTACAGCATTAGTGCCTACGACCCCTTTTGCCCCTGCAACAACCTTCACCTCTGCTACAACCTTTCCTTCTGCTACAGCCTTTGCCTCCACTACAGCCTCTGCCCTGGATACAACCTTTACGACTCCTACAACCCTTTCTTCTGCTACAACCTTTTCTTCTGCTACAACCTTTTCTTCTGCTACAACCTTTTCTTCTGCTACAACCTTTTCTTCTGCTACAACCTTTTCTTCTGCTACAACCTTATCTGCTGCTGCAGCTTTCTCCTCTGATACAGCCTGCACTCTCAGTACAAGCACCCTCCCTGCAACGACCGGCCTGTCAGGTACCCCCAACGCAGCAGCAGAGCAGACAGCCCTCAGATCAGCCCACACTCCTTCTCTGCCCTCCCTCTCCACACACCTCCCGTCATCAACCCATAATCCTTTCTCGCCTTCCCTCTCGACGCTTGGACAGTCAATCCCTGCAAACACTTACGCCAACGCAGCCGCAGAGCAGACATCCCGCAGATCAACCCATACTCCTCCTCCCTCCCTCACTGCACCACAACTTCCCACAACTCATCATCCTTACTTGCCTTCCCCTTCGGCACATGCTCAAGCATCTTCCGCAGGTCTTTTTTCGGCCAATGCTGTAAGCTTCCCGTTCAGCCGCCCCCCACAGGCACTGTTAAGCCAGGTGGTGCAATCGCATGAAGCTCCCGCTGCTACATCAGATGCGTTTGTCCCTGGGTCTCTTGCTCCTCCTGCTGCTAGGCCTCTTGCTCCTCCTGCTGCTAGGCCTCTTGCTTCTCCTGCCACAAGGCCTCTTGCTCCTTCTGTGAGGTCTCTTGCTCCTGCTACAGTTCCCGCTCCTGCGCAAATGTATCCTGCTCCTGCTATGCTGCTTCCTGTTTCTGCTACAGTTTCTTCTCCTGCTATAACGCCCTCT